CGGCCTCCCGGCCTGTCCTCTGGCACAAGGAGCTGCCAAGGTGGAAGATTGCGCTGGGGAAAGGTCCCGAGCGCTGCAAAACCCCCCAAACCACTCGTCCTTGTGACAACAGGAAGGGTTTGTATCAACCTGACATTGGTGCTTAACAGATAACGTCTGGCACGCTTGAAAAATGCAGAACACACCAGCTTTGCCCATCATGTAAGGCATAAGAAAACATTTTATTTGGGAAGAAAGAGAATGTATCATTTTTTGCCTGCTTAGATATTATTAGACACACGGGCATGAAACAGGGCTTCTGTTGCTTAGGTGATCAAGTTTTCCTGTTGCTCACTCCTCACTTGAAATCTTGATCCTTTTTGTGACATTAAAATTATTTCAATAGCAAATAAAAATGACATCATACGCAAAGAACGACTGTTCTGAGTGACTAATAAAGCAGTGGGGGCAAAAACTTACAAGCAAAGAGACATTATTTTCATGCAAATTATCCAAATAATAAAAAGTAGGAAGGAAAATACGCAATTTTCTGAAATGGAAAACTTTCTGTACCTTTTCTACCCGAAGAATTAACTCGACTCTCATCATTCTTTGGGGCTTGATGTAATGCTTATACCCAAAACAGATAGATCTAACATTAAGTAAACATTTGAAATGAGTTAAACCCAAAACTTCACGTGTGAAGCCTTGGTGGCGCGGATCCTGGATACAGATGCCTGGATACAAATCCTCAGTTCCAGCGGGGTTCAGGCTAGCCTCTCAAAATGGAAAGGAGTCTCTCGCTCCCGTCTGGTTTAGATGCTGTTGAAATTTTCCAGGAATAACTCTGTCTGTGAGAGCTCCATTCAGAGTGACAGAGATCTCGCTGGAATTACTTTTCTGCATCAAGACTACAGGAATCTCCAGAAATACTTCTTCTGCCTACTGCCGCCTCCGTACCTACCTCCTGGTTGCACTGGACCTGCCTTTACGCAGCTCAGGCTTCACACTGCTTTCCTCATTTTGAGCCAAAATTATCTATCGATCGACAAGATTTTGCCGATCTCGAATACAAGTCTGCATGCTTTTCCAGTTAAATCCGGCCCTAAATCCAGTATGGCTCTCAGATCTGTTTAATCTTCCAATGTTTATTTGCTCTGTGCTGCTACCTAGTCTTAATCTGCTACCGAAAGAGAGGGTTATGATTTCCTGTGATGACTGCACAGCAGGAGTAAATGAGTTCCTGAACAACTAAATTCCTGTTTTCATACACATGTTTCTAGGCGTAGAAAAATGAAGGAAGAAAGAAAAGCAAATAAATTACAGAGTAGAAAAATTGTTCCCCTGTAGAATAGTTTTCAAAGTTTTTCAGGAATAATTTTTTTTTTTTAATTATTTTTAAGTCTGTGTGAAACACTGAGCTTCAGCACTCTCATCTGTCACGTTATGCTTCTACTTAAAGACTATCATCAAGGGGGAATAACTGTGTCAACTCAGATAGCAATTTTTATGTCATTAAGTTCTGATGACTAAAAAAAGTAGCATGTGAAACAGAATGTGAAAAAACATATGGCTACCTCTGAAAGTACAATACCATATGAAAATAATTTAATTCAGTGGAATAATGCTAATTCAACAGGAAGAGTATACGCATAAACTGTCTGCTATTTTGTTTCAATCAAATAATTACATTTCCCTGTGTCTAAATTTCCTTGTCTCTTGCAGTGCCTCTAGGAAACATATGGGAGCCTATAATAATGCCACATACAGCCTCTACCCGGATTCGGACCAGAGTTACATTTTTCTCTCTTTAAATTTTAGATGCTTTTTTCCCCCTCATTGAACACTTTTTTCAGATTCTGAAAAACTTACCCTCTTCTTGTCCAAGTTTAAATCTTACGTTTGGTTTTAAGCAGATATCGGCAATGCAAGACATGCACAATTTAGTGCCTCTCTTTTTCTTCCCACTCTAGGCTGCTTTCAGCCCTAGAAACCTGGCTGGCTATTATATCGACAAAGGGTGCTCAGCCCTTTGCTGGATCAGGTCGTGTCCCCCCGGAGAGACGATCTGATATTTCATAAGACATTGCAACAACTGAGAAATATGCCCAGCATTTGGCATTCTCTCTAAAAGCGTTGGATTTCTGGGATAAGCAATATGGCTACAACTATTTCTGTCGTTATCTTAGAACACCATGTGTTAGTGCCCTTAAAGTAAAAACTTCATTCCGAATCCTGGATAATTTTTGGTATGCCGCATGAACGTTTGTAAAAGAATATCATCTGCATACTTTTGCATTAAAACCAGTCACTTAACCTTTGCTTGGGGTTTTTAGTACACCTTTGATACAGAATCTAAAAGAATTTTTCTTACATAGGTGAATGAAACCTCCTGAGACGCCTGGAGAGCATTACCAGCTTTATTCTATAGAAACAGAGGGAGAAGTACTGCAGTTTGCTGGAGCTCACGGACAGGGAACCCGGCTAAAGTGATGGATGTCCTCAGCAGTCACTGCCGTCTGATGCTTGACGTATTTTAGATTTCCAAATATAATATCCTTTCTGACTGACGAGGACCTCCTGAAAAGAGGAGTTCTGATCTGATTTGTAAGCTTTACCTGTGCTTTCAAAATCCTTTCTTTCAGTGTGAAATCTATAGGAAGTTTTGCTTAACAGGGCTGCATAGGGCATTGTCCAAAAGTTGGAACTTGATCATTTTGCACATCTTTTAATACATAGAATTATAGAATAGTTTGGGTTGGAAGGGACCTCTAAAGGTCATCTAGTCCAACCCCCCTGCTGTGGGCAGGGACATCTTCAACTAGAGCAGGTTGCTCAGAGTCCGACCTGACATGCTGAGGGCTCCAGAGCTGGACGCAGTACTGCAGGTGGGGTCTCACCAGAGCAGAGGGGCAGAATCCCCTCCCTCGACCTGCTGGCCACGCTTCTTTGGATGCAGCCCAGGATATGGTTGGCCTTCTGGGCTGCGAGCGCACATTGCCGGCTCATGTCCAGCTTTTCCTCCACCAGTCCCCCCAAGTCCTTCTCGGCAGGGCTGCTCTCCATCCCTTCATCCCCCAGCCTGTATTGACACCGGGGGTT